AAAAAACATAAATGACGTCGTCACCTAATTCAGCCCCATGCCTGCCAGCACCGACCTCAACTCATCCGCCGTGATGAACCCGCCCCTCCGATAGAAAACCCTAAATGCCTCCCGCACGTCCTCTTCACCGCCATCCTCCTCGTCGCCTCCGTCGTCTTCCAATGCCGCCGCTAACAGGACGCCGAACTCCTAGGTGTCTCCGTCTGCGCCAATCTTTCCAATCATCGCCTGCAGCTTCTTATCCGGCAGGCAGATCTTGAGAGCTCGTCCCCGCTGATGTTGCAATTGTCGTTCATCGAGCATGAAGAAGATCCGATGGAGCTCCACCGTGCCCATCTCCTCATGTAGAGCTCTAATAGGAGAAATGGTTTGTAATTTGATTTTGGGAGAATTAATTTGGCATTTGTTTGGATTTGATTTTGGGAGAGATGGCGAGAGAGAATTAATTTGGATACAATTTTGTTTTGATGTGATTTTGATCCGTTAGTTAATTTCTACCCAATAAATTTGCGAGAGATTTTCCATAATTGATGCACGTAAATAAATTTTGAGTCAATCATATAATTAAGTATTAGAATTTAAGTTTTTCACTAAATCATTTCAATATTTGGAATGTTGCATCTAAATCATCTAATTAGGGAATATAATTTTCATATTGAAAATCATAATCAGGTTTGTTCCCATAATTAATAAAATTTACCACAAAATAAATTCAAAACAATTTTAAAATTCAAAATTAATTATTATTGGCGGGATTTTTTAAAAATTTTAAAAGAAATTACCAGAATTAGTATGTTTTAATTTTGTAGGCGGGAATTTAAGTACTATTTCAGGTAAATGTCAAACCTTTTTATATGTATATAGATAAATATTATTAGAATTTATTTTGTTATAGAAATTATTATTGTGGTATAAATTCGACATAATTATGTTATAAATTGGACGTTAGATATTATTGTTTTAGGGATTTGAAATTATTATGTTATCGAGACGAAATAATTATGTTATAAATTGGACGTTAGATATTATTGCTTTAGGGATTTGAAATTATTATGTTATCGAGTCGAAATAATTATGTTATAAATTGAACGTTAGATATTATTGTTTTAGGGATTATAAATTATTATGTTATCGAATCAAAATAATTATGTTATAAATTGGACGTTAGTTGACATTATTATGTTGTACAATTTATGTTATAAATTGGACTTTAGGAGTTCGACATAATTATGTTATAAATTGAATGTTAGATATTATCGCTTTAGGAGTTAGAAACTGAATCTGACAGTTTTGGCTCTGTAAAACTCACGACTCGCCAGTTTAGCATAGGAAAACACCCAAATCTGGCGAATCGTAAGATTAATTCACGAGTCGCGAGTGTATTCGCGACTCGCGACTGTATTCGCGACTCGCGAGATGAAGTCGCACAGCGTGAATTTTTTATATTTTGGCTCTGTCAAACTCGTAACTCGCGACTTTCGCTCGCGAGTCGCGACATAATCTCGCAATTCGCGAATTTCGGCTCGCGACTCGCGAGTTGGACAGAGGCAAAAGTGCCAAATCTCGTGACTCGCGACCTCGTCTCACGACTCGCGACCTCGTCTCGCGAGTCGCGAGGTTACTCATGAATGAACTCGCGACATGATGGCATGAGTCGCGACTGCCCTCGCGACTCGCGACTTTCGGCTCGCGAGTCGCAAATTTTGGCTGTTTCGGCTCTTTTAAACTCGTGAGTCGCGTTAGGAGTTATAAATTGAACGTTAGATATTATCGTGTTAGGAGTTATAAATTATTATGTTATATAGATTATAATTTAACATGTTTGAAATATTGTAATATATTGCAGGTGTCATTGGAAGATTTTGGAGGAGATGGTATTGATTACAGTTCCGCTTTCAATACAACCACATTTTTTGTTAGTGATGAGGCTGCGATTGATGATGCAAAAAGTACGGCACTTCTGAATGGTTTCAATTTGACTATTTCGAAACACACAAAATGAGGAAGCTTGAAAATCTTGAAGTGCAAACGAGACAAACGTTATAGAGGCAAGAAGAAGGTAGATGTTGCTTCTAGAAAATCGAAAACCAACAAGTGTCAGTGCCCTTTTGAGATAAGAGTAAAGCGGGTGCCCGTAACGCAATTCTGGATGATCCACAAGTGTCTAAACGAAGAGAAGGGCTTCCACAATCATTCATTTGCTGTGTATCCCGTGGGCCATCGACAGTCGAGCGACATCAGCCAGTCATCAAAGAAGATTATTCGTGATATGACTGCTGCGCAGGCGACACCAGCAAATATTTTGGCCGCTGTACAGGAAAAAAATCCAGGAGATCACGCGACTGTGCGACATATATATAACTATAGAGATATGTTGCGCAAGGAGAGTTTTGAGGGTAGAGACGTTACTACCCAACTTCTACATTTGGCTAGGAGCAGCAGCTATATAGGGTATACAGATGTCCATCTGGACAAAAATGCCTTGACACACATATTCATGGCCCATCCTGATTCAGTCAGACTATTCCAGACATATTATTTGTATGTCGGCATAGATTCCACCTACAAAACCAACAGGTGTGTTAATTTATAAATATGTTATTAGTATGAATATAAATTAATATGTTCGATTAAATTTTATGAGATTATATTTTTTGGTCTCATTTGCACAGGTACAAGATGCCGTTGGTCGAGATGATTGGCATGACTCCGTGCAACAATAACTTCTTGATTGCGTACGCACTCATGAAGGACGAGAAAGAGGCCAGTTATGATTGGGTTCTCCATAAGCTGAGACTTCTGATAGGCTCTGAGGTAAGAATAAAATATTTAATTTTATTAGTAATAAAAGTATTTTGTGCAATATAGTAAAAATATTTCAGCAATTTTTGCTCTGTCTCATTAATATTTCTGTATCCGCCGCTGCTCAGGTACATCCAAATGTGGTTGTTACTGACAGAGAGTTGGGCTTAATGACTCCTATTAGGAGGAACTTTTCCCAGTCTGCCCACTTACTCTGCACGTGACACATCAACAAGGATGTGGAAGAAAGACTCTACATGCTGCTTGCAAAAAAATAAAAAATTTGTTCAGAGTTTCTTGCGCGGTAGGTGGAAGGCGATTGCCGATGCCGGTACGGTTGATGAGTATGACACGGCCGTAGCTCAATTGCGTGTCAAATACCGGAATCATGTAGAAGTGTTAGATTATGTCGAGGGGACTTGGTTAGTCCACAAGGAGAAGTTCGTGAAAGCTTGGACTAACCGGGTAACACATCTTGGCAACACAACTTCATGTAGGGTGGAGAGTGCACACTCTGTGTTGAAACGTTGGCTTCGCACGTCGACCGACACGCTCGATACAGTGTGGCAGAAGATTGATGCGGAGATCCAGTCCTAGATGAATGGAATAAGGTACATTCCTTATTTTTAATTGTATTAGATCGTTTCATATATATTAGAATTCTTGGTATTTCGTTTATTTATAAAAATAAATATAATGTTTTGTGATATATTACTAGGACAACGCTTGATTCTTCGACACTTAGGAGGTATACGGGGTTTACGGGATTCCCTTTCGCGTGTTTGACACTGAGGGTCTCACATTACTGTCTGGACACATTGAACTCTGAGCTGACGAGGATGCAAGACTTGAGCTATGAAGTTTACGAGCGCTGCGGTTGTGTATTGCTTACCACTCATGGAATTCCTTGTGCCTGTACGCTTCGTACGACATTTGATTCTGACCTTTCGGTTGAATTGAGTGATATCCACGAGTTCTGGAAGACACTAGAGATGTTACAGCCAGGTAATTTAAGGTTAATGTTTCATATACAATTTTCTACTTTCTAATTCATTGTTAATTACAAATTAAAGTACATTACATAGTTAAATTCGTTGAACGTTTTTTCCGTACACACTTGTAGGGACAGATCGCCATAGCCAGGATAACCAGAGGCAGGATAACCAGAGTACATGGACAGATGTTGATGTATTTCGGACGTTTGTCCAAGAGATTGAAGAGGGCGATCCTGCGACGATTCGCTACATGAATCACCTCATGTACGCTCAGCTTTACTCGGAGCAACAAACTTATGCAGAGCCTGAGGTTAAGGAAAATATGCGAGGTCGTCCCAAGAAAACCGATTCGACTAAGCGTAAACCATCGCGGTGGGAGTACAGGGATAATTCGAGAGGTCGTCCGGTTGGCTGTACAAGCACTTCTTTGCACGGACCGACAAACACTTCTTCGCGCAGAACGACAAACAATTCTTCGCGTGGACCCACAAGCAGCCAGTCTTCTCAACCGTCACAAGAGGCACCACAAGGTGACATTTTTTTTTTACAACTGAACGTTAATTAAAGTGTTAATATAAATTATATTATATAAATTGTGACGTAAAATTACTATTATGATGTTTCAGCTGGTATGTCGACAGATATATTTGGTTTTGAATTCGTGAATAGTATTCCCTGGCATATGTTGGAGCACGTAGTGAGCTACTTGAACGTGAAAGCGGATGGTAACTGTGGCTTTTGGGTTATAGCGAGTTACATTTACGGGGACCAGGAGATGTGGCAACTCGTACGAGAGAACCTTGCCAATGAGATTTACAGCCACCGTGAGTTGTACGAGTATATCTATTTCAGAGATATCGACCCCAACCTCGTTCGAATAAGGTGGGACGGGGGCCCTTGTGGCCAACATCACTAGATGGATACTCCATTCGACCTCTTCCCTGTTGCAACTCTATTTAATATGACTGTCATTTTGTTATCCTCTAGTCATTATGGTCAACAGTTCAACAAATTAAGTTGTACAATATTGCCGCTCTATGTACCATCGACGGCTACACGACCACGACGTGAGATTGGGATCTGTCATCTTGGAGTATATGCACACTATATGCGTGTAGATTTGACTCCTGATTGCCCATTACCGCCTATTCAACCTTTCTAGTTTAGGTACCGAAGTAATTCGGTACGGGGTTGGGAGGATCAGTACCAGCGTAGGTTGCAATTGTGGTATGAGGAACAAAATATTCCTTGATGAATAAAAGACGAATATTATTCGGTTGTCTTTATTATTTTTATTGTTATTGAATTGTGTGTAATGTCGTAAATTTTGAACAATAAAAAAAGGAGCTAAAATCGGGGCTAAGGATCGTTTTGATATGAAGTGCGCGAAAAACAGAGCTAAAACGAGGAAAAAAAACAGTCTGTTATACTCGCGACTCGCGACTTCGTCTCGCGAGTCGCGGCCTGCGACTCGCGACTCGCGAGCTTGACAGAGCCGAAATAGGCAGAATCTCGCGACTCGCGACCACGACTCGCGAC